TGCAAGACGTATGACTTGAAGGCTTCGCAGCACAGCCACAAACGGAGCACAGTCTCATCCTGTGACAAGACTTGTGATTAATGCCTAGCAACAAAGTGAACCACAGAGCAGGAAGTGGACTGTGGTCAAACAGCAGTTTCAGACCAATATTGTGATTCTTGATCTAAATTCTGAGGGTTTTAAGGAACTTCGTTAACTGTGTATGCATGACAGGAAACAATCGAGTTACTGTTTAGGTGTGTGTGTGTGTGTGTGTGTGTGTGTGTGTGTTGGAGCACGTGTTACATAATGAGGTGTGTGCATACAAACAATTGCGTGTGGGTGGGATGTTTGCATTTCAGTGTGTGTGTGTGTGTGTGTGTGTGTATGTGTGTGTGGCACGAGTCATTACGCTGTAATTACTATCCAATTAAAAGAGGGCCCACCACAAACAACAAACACACACATGCATTGAAACACACACTGGCAGACAAAATACACACATGCACTCCTACACTTATTCACTTCGCCCAGCACACACACATGCACACACACACACACACACACACGCCAGCAGGCAGCGTGGCAGCACCTGTTGCAGTGTGTCCTCATGTCTTCCTGCACTGCAGTCGCAGCTCATTTCATCTCACAGAGAGAGACTCTGTTTGGACTCAGTCACGCTGAATTTATCACTGACAATAGCCAGAGATGATTGTTTGTGTAGATGTTTGAGTTTGCTGCTAATGAGTGAAGCAGCAGAAGAACTGAGCTCGTCCTTTGTGAAAGTAAAACATTCAAACACCGGTTCTCTGTAGGCTTGGGCTCACGGTTCGGAAAGACGCCTTTTATTGGGTTTTTGTAAAGAAATTATGTGTTGTTTAAAAGCAGATAGATGAAATAGGACAAACAGACTGAACACTGGCAGCGATTTGATTTATATCACTGAGGTTACTTTGGGTTTTCATGCTGCAGTGCACTAAATTTATGATCTCTTCTTACTGGACAACAAGCGTTCCCTTTTAACCTTACTCATATCTTCTAAGTGTATGACTGTGATACACTGTGGCTTAATATTAATTTGTTTAAGTAGTTTTTGGAGATTTGCCACGAGACAGCTGGGAAACAAGCAGGAAAACTGAAGATGGAGGTTCATTTTTCCAAGATTAGTGCAAGCTTACAAGTACACGCTGAAATGTACAGCAGTCTGAGTGCATCTGTTTTCCCAGCAAACGTTTTGACTTGGCACAGTGGGAAAAGCAGTGTTACATTCATTCTCTATGTAAAAAGAAAAAACCTTAAATCCTCATGTACATAGATCACTAAGTTTACATCATGCAGACCCTGGCATGCAGCTGCAGCCATGTTGATGTGCTTTTGTTGATGCATATGGTCTGTACATGCAGTTGGAGCTGCTATAAATATTGGGCTGCATGCAGACAGACCCTCTCTATAAATGGATATATGGGTATGACAAAATGTGTTCTGCATTGACCCTTGAATACAGTTGCAGCCACGCATATGCTGCAATACAAGTTAAGTCCTCCCAAGAAGCCTAGACCCTCTTATTTTGTTCCATTTGAAAAAATAAATGTCTCAGACCGAAGCTCAAAGCTTTATACAAGGAACTCGATCTGTAAGCCAGTGCTTTTCTGGGACTCTCCAGGTTCAGGTCTGGTAGCAGAACTCTACAAGTTAATATAGTCCAAAAACAGACGTGGACCAGTTCTGTTTGTACTACTTGTTCACACAATATACATTTGCTTTCTAAGTTATATTTCTTATTTTCTATTTTCAGAAGGGTTTTTTTTTTAAATAAAGTCCTGAGAAAATAGTAAAAATTAATGTGTGGATTACAAAAAGTTATATTAATCCCCACACAACTAAACCCTTATCATCCTGAAGAAAAGCTTTGTTGATACAGCAAGTTTCACAATGAATTCACATCCAGTCCTTCACTCAAAAAGATAATGAACATCCAATTTTCTTCCATTATTCTGTCTTAACACCAAACTCACTGACAATCCTCATTTGACACAGCAGACAGACTTCCCCCTCTGTTTACAGGAGTCCGAATCACCTAAGCTCAACTGCAGCCTTCCTGCTTTGTGAGGAGACAAAGGGAAAGTCTTTGTCCATGAGCCTCATCTGACTCACTGAGCATGGTGGGACCATGAGCTCCAGCAGCTACTGACACAACTACAGTCAACATATCAGTGTCCTAACAAAGGGGCACCAGAGTGACATCATGATTACTGGCATGAAAACATCCACCCATCCAACCATGACACTTAAAAGTACGATGACAATAATAAAATATCCTCAGGGCCTCATTTTTAATGACTCAATAAACCCATGTAGCTGTATTATTTTTCCTTCATGTCTCTTTGTTTATTTGTAAAATCAAAGCATGTCTTTGTTGTGACAGATAAGACTCCATTGACTGACATGAGTGTAAGGGGGGTAAACAATAGACAGCTGAGTCCCATTTCTTTCTTCATCCTTCCACTGAAACTCTTTTGTGCTTTTCATCCACAATAAATGACTTACACACTGATCAGATGTTAAATCATAAGAAGAAAAAATGTGTTTCTAGGTTTAATATTTACAGTTAAACATTTTAAATAGTTGATTTGAAGTTCAGAATTGGGAAGAAAAAAAAAAAAAACAGGCACTGGCCCTTTAAATGAAAAACCTGCTGGAGGAGTCCTTAGAATAAATAACAAAACAATCAAATGTAACGCACTCACCACTGCGGACACACACGTGGCAGGCATCGTCCTGATTTAGAAAGTACAGGTGAAGAGGATCACGCGGACGTCCTTGTCCAAGTTGTCTGCTGGAGAAACACTTCTCATCTCTAGATGTTTCTCATCGTCATCATCCTCCTCCTCAGCTCTACCGGAGGAGAGAAGCTGAGCCCGGCTGTGATGCAGCGTCAGTCTCAACTGCAGTGTTTTATAGTCTGTGTCTCCAGGTGGACCGGTTTCAGATAGTACGGGATGAGGGCTTGGTTCAGAAAGAACGCTGTGGTAATTCCCATAGCGATAATGGATGAGGGCCACACTTGGATCGCCGCCTCGCCCCGTCCAGGCTCGTCAGTGTGCAGTGCGGCTCTCCGTCCGCGCTGCACAGCACCACAGACACTGCCGCGGTGACGTAGACGCGGAGAGGCGGGAGCTAGACGCGTCTCAGCCAACCGCAGCCCGGAGAGAGCCGCGCACGTGTGTCGAACCCCGACTGTGTAGTGGGAGGGGGGACATGTGTCTTGCAGGTGAACCCAGGTTGAGGCCCACGAATGACATGTCCTTGATGGAGGCTTTAGGACAGCGCTTTAATACTGAACTGCACACACATCCAAATGGAGCTGTTTGGGATTTGGGAGGGTAGTGCTGCGGGAAAAAAAGTGCTGTCACCACCAATCACACATACAGAACATATGGATATCCGCTGTATTTAACCACGTTTTACAGCTGGGATCTGTAAACTGAGCCTAAATGGAAGTAATGTGTCGTTTTTTGTAGCAGACCTCTGAATGTAATCAGTTCAAAATCACGTTTATGAGAAGTTATTATAAAAACAGTAGAGGTCATAAGGCATCAAGGTGAGCCGTTACAGAGTGATCCGCACAGAACATAAGGGTTAAAACCTTATAAGTAGACTGTAATGGATTTTTTAAATCTCTGCACTCAGTTATTTTCATTCCATTTGTTGCATTTTAACTCGTCTAAACAAAAAGCAAACTTTATGTTGGCACATAGATCTACAAGTTACAGTTTTTGTTTTCCATGTAATCATCCCTTTTATATTTGAGACCTTTGTATTGATGATTACCGTCGAAGCTCAGATATAAGCTGGATATCCTCAGAAATAATAAGTCTAAGTTCAAAAAAGACAATTCTGTAATTTTTAACAGAGCTATCTGTAAGTTTTTGCTATCGCTACATAGCTAATGTTAGCATTAGCAGCTGTTTACTTACCAGTCTAGAAGAAACGTTACAAGTTCATCATCAAACTTCATTCCTTTACTCGCAAAGAGCTGTCTCCAATGGAAAGCCGCCCCTTTTGATTTACTTCTATTTCTATCACTTGTTTTCTTCTACTGAATTTAGCACGCTAACCAGCTAGCTCCAGCCCAGTCACTTTCCAATACCGAGTCACTGTTTAGGTCCAGGCTGCCTTACATAGCGCGGCTCAGAGGACCTTTTCTAACCTCTTGTTTTGTAAACTTACTAATGGCTCTTTACACAGAACCAAAACATTTTTATATTTTCACAGAGGCTATAACAACACATTCCTAATATTCCTTGCATCATGTAAGACAACTTGTATTTAAACTGTTTTGTTGTGCAGTATTGTCTCACTGTCTGACAGTGCTGTGATGCAACAACAATTGTAACAAGAGGGTTTGTTCATTCCCACCTGATGTTACCCTAAAAACTTAAGAGCATTATTGTGCTTTGTTCCAACTGACTTAAAATTAAGATGTAGTCCACATTATAACAAGTAATAACAAGTGGCCAGTTTTTGTTGGTGAAGTCAAAGAATAATGTAAAACTGTGTGGTGTAATACCTTTTAGGGCAGTAACATAAGATAGTGAGTTCTGCATTGTGATTGTCACCACTATGCTGCTCTGCAGGATTTTGCAGTGTCCTGTGTCCTGATCTGTAAGCTGGAACATTCCTAGTCATAGATTAATTATGTTACATTATATAGAAATGTATCTCCATACAGTGCTGGAATTAGACTTTTATTAGTGACCTTTTGGACCAACACTGATCTTCTTCACGTTGGTCAAAGATATAAGAAAAAAAGGAGATCCAGTGTCATGGTAAGTGTATTCCCTTTGCAGCAATGAATACACCTCCCAGCTTCATTGGATTACCCCTTTAAATCCAGGTAACAGGGCTGTAATGGCTTTCTGAGCTTGTCTGTGCCCCATCACACTACCTGATGGATACAGCCTGGTTTCTAGGACAGCCCTTACGCAGGGCTTAGTCCTTCCATTATGACAGACTGTCATTCAGTTTCCCCCAAAAGAAGCATCACGGCATTGTTTGTGTGTTTGTCTATTTAGAAAGAGCTCAGTGATGAAAGTAATGAACAGCATTTTTGATCCTGTGCTCTAAATTTCTGGTTTACAGATGACCTGCAACCTTATTTGTTGAAAGGAGGCCATTGATATCTCTGGGAGGGATATTTATGTAAAACACTGATGCAGTGAGCTGCCCTTTCATCTGCTGTAACGTCAGTTTGATAGTGAACATGAGAAAGAAAACAGGATTTTGGATTTAATTTGAATTGGCAAAGAAATCAATATTTCACCATTTAGCCAATTTAGCGTGAACCTCCATTAAGCTGCATTTGTGTGTTAAACTAAAAGGCTACAGAAACAAAAATCCCTGTTAGGCCCAAATGGTTTGTTTGTGAATGTAATATTCTTCTATTGTCTTTGCCTGAAATGTTATGATGCTTGTTTTACACACAAAACATCATTAATTGATTTTATGGCCACTTGGAGGCAGCACAACAAGCAGTGAAAGCATCAGTAAATATCATAAAATTCATATAACAGGTACACGGAGGTTCACTAAGGGTCCGCATGTACCTACAAATATGACATCTGTGTGACAGATGTTCTTATTATACTCCTTCTTGTCAGTTTGGCAGCCACTATGGGGGATACTGACTCATACTGACTTCCTACTACAGCATATGCCATAGGTCACTGATAGGTGGACCATGGTCTGGATCCAAACCCAGACCAGTCCTATCCAGACCTGGACCTAAACCCTATAAATTACTGAGAATTATTCAATTTTGCCCAGCACAGTTTTTCCAACTTTCATGGCACTGATCACATGATGCTGTTCAGCCAATCATTGTGACTGGAGTCGGTGATTGAGATACACACAGGGGAGCGACAATACTATAGACAACACTGGAGAAATGAGTGGTGAAAGTGGGATATTAGAGGGAAAGAATTAGAAAAGGACTTGTTAAAACTGTCCAAAGGTAAAAAAATGTGCTGAGATTTTTAATTATTAAAATGGTTGAGACTGTTAAGATGTGAAATGGAGTTAGCCGGAATGAAAAAGGGAAATTGAAGCCACACTACAACCTGATTTTCTTTGAAATGAGAAAAGAACATTTAATTATTATTAGAGAAGTTATTTACGATTATTATTGGAGATGCTTCAGACCTTAGCTTGAGGCAATTTTGTCCAACTGGACCTCTTTGAATTTTAATTGAATACCCCTGGCAAACGCGGATTGCCTGGCGACCTCCCTGTGAAAACTCCAGAAAACCAATACATAATGAAATAATTAGTGAGCTTTAGAAGTAGATCTGTTTAAACCCTGTTTCAAGCCTTTATGCTGAGCTAAGCTAACCCTCCTCCGGCTCTAGTGTCACAGTTACCGGACAGATTTGAGAGTGGTATTGATCCTTTCAGTTAACTGTTGGCAACCAAATAAAAAACTTACTCATCTAGTCATTTAACAAATTGGTTTTACTTGCCCAAATTTAACCCAAATGCAGCCACGCAGCTTGCAAAAAAATAGGTCATATGAGGAGATTTCGGAGCAATTGCAGGGACCTATTTTGTCGTTGATGGAAAAGGTCAAATCAAATGGCATCTGAGGTGTTTGCAGCAAAGATCCATGACGCACAGCCACCTGTAATTGGTTCAGGTTTCTACAGGACCAGTCTTTCATCGTGTGGTATCAAGCACCAACTCTGGGAATGCCACCCTCCCATATGTGTCAGTGGAGCAAACATGGCGGCTTGAGCCAGCCACTCAGTCATCTGTTCCATGCAGTCAACCTGTCATCCATCTACTTACCAACATGCTGTCGAGATATCCAGACACAACGTGAGCAGCGCTCTTGGCCCATCAGGCTGGCCCTTAGTAAACAGTTTGCATACACACAAGCTGGCGTGCTCGTAGCCTCAGACGTTACTGCAAATAGCAGCAGCTGATAAAAGAGTGGAGCACCATCTGCCCTGCACGTGGAGCGGAAAAGAGTGGACACGGAGTGGACGAGGGAGGGAGGGGGGGAGAGAGAGAGAGATAAAGGGATGAAACGTGCCGCTTTGCTTTTGCTGGTGGGGGAAAACTCAGTAGAAGTGGGTCAGTGACTCAGTCGGATGATGGGGGAGGAAGAGAAATCCACCTAAAACTTAAAGAATTAAGCCAATTCTTTTAAATATTACACCTCGGAGTGGGAAGGTATGACTAATGAATGCCAAGAGAAAGACACAGAGACCAGAGAGCAGGATGCTGAAGATACAGTGCATATACAGTGCGTCCTGCCCAGCACTGGAGCACACTCATGCTGCAGAGCTGAGCTGATGTTCAGTGGGCCAAACAGCCGCTGCAGGGCCACACGTATCCTCAGACTGCAGTTACTAGGTGAAGTTGCCTTATATAGAACAAAACAAAAAAAAAAGACAAGCTACAGTGGAGGAAAGAGGATTGGTCTGTGCGTTTGAACAAGTGAGTAACAGACTGAAAGGAAGAGGGCATGTGAGGACACACCTTGACATAATGCCCCTGACCTTAACCTTAACCATCACAACCATATATTATCAACACCCACAAACAGCAGCACACCCTTCACATAAACAATGCAACCGTAAAATCTCAGTTAAACACGTACTACATGATTTTGAGGAATCTTGGTCCAGTATCCAAATTACACAGGAATAACGTGGAGGCATTAAACCTTCACATAGAGAAACAAAAGACTTTTTTTTATCAGTGAAGTAGGAGACATCTTGTCTCCTGTAGTTAAACGTTTGAAATAAAAAGCATTCGCGTGTTTTGCATATCTTAACCAGATAACTGAACTATTTTGTGGGGAAAAAAAAAAGAAAGAGAGAAAGAATGTCTCTTTCAGTATCGCCTTATATGTGACGTGGTACAACTCTCTATTCATTCTGTGAATTCTGCAGATGGGATGAAATGATCAGTTTATAGACAAAGAGAGGGAGAAAGAGAATCTGTCTATGTTAGGTTTCCTGGCAGCAGATACTTTAAAATGCTAATTAAAGGGCATTTACTGCTGCAGGTGAGAGCATCATGTGTGTGTTAGCATTAGGATTGAGACTGTCAAACCTGTTATGATTAAAATGAGCCACACAGTTCATTTATCTTTTAAGCCTTTAGGCCTGAAAATACCTTAAAAATAAATGCATGATAAGTGCTATAACACAGGATGTGGAGTTTTTGATAAATTACCCCGTCCTACTCACATGCTAACTCCATTAGCAATGGATGTTTAAATGTATATGCAAGTAACATTTGAGCTGAGCGGCACTTTTCTCTTATTATATATAATATTAATCTTCACAGCACGTCTCTGCAGAGTGTCTGCTGTAATCACTCAGTTCTGTGGCGGAAATATAACTTCACTGTTCCCAGTAATTACAGCTCTCAGACATTGAGACAAATAGATGGCTGCCAGTAGATGGCATTAAAAGTCACACATTACTTACGGCCTCTTTAAATTTACTGGTCTGTATTAACAGTCACTGTAGTTATAAGTTCATTAATGCTGCGAGTTCTTTGGTTGTTTAAATAAAATAGCAGACTATGTTCATAACTTACTCTCTTAACTTCTCTACATCCTCCAGAAAAGCCCACTTCTTCAATAATCCAAACATGTTCATATGTAAACTAATCATCACCCACTTTCATGTGTGTATCTTAGTGGGACACATTTGTGTAATGTATTGTGTTTCCACTTCAGTCCATTATATGTACAGACAAATGTTCAATTCTGCTGTAGCTGAATACAAAGCTGCCACCCAGGATGTATATAGAAGAGAGGTTTGTGTGTGGACTGCATTCGTTTTAATGACTTGTTTTCAATGCTCGACTCCCTCTCAGATGACCCACCTCTCATCAGTGGGTCAAACTGACGCTCCTCAAAGGTAAATACATTAGAGTTTAAGTTTCAGCAGCAGCTGTGAAGTGGAGTTTCCTGGTAACCATCCAAACTCAAACACAAATGTCCAACACAGGAGGCCTAAAGGCGTCAACTGCACCACTGTGTTCACCAGCTTCATTTACTGTAAGATCACACAACTTCATCAAAGTCTATATTAAGACGTTCCAAGGTGGAGACAAACTTGTTTGTACAGTGAGTCAGTGGGTGGCACAGGTTTCCATCCTCACAGAGGTACAGTAGCTCGATGTTTGAAATGTTAGCTTTGGGCAGAGTCTTGTTCAGACTCTTAATGTGCAGCTGCCCCGTGGAAACCTTGCGCTTCCTCATGTAATGAATAACCTTTTCAAGTTTGAGCACTAACCAGCAGGAGTTAGGGATAAAAAAAGGTTTTGACCTCGGTCGAAATGAATCATGTCAGGAAGCTACAGTGACATTGTAACTGTCAAAAGGCCTTTTTCACAGCAGCAGACATTTTGACTTGTCATGGAGAAGCACAATTGTAATAACATTAACAATGGTTCAGTGTCCCAGGAAGCCATGGCAGTGTGACAGTGAGCCAGCATGAACAATACCAGGAAACAGCGGCTAAGGTAGCTGCCCATACGCACCATAATACTCTTATCTTACAGTCACATATTATTATTGTATTTTCTGATACCGTAAGATTGTGTAAGTACTTTTGATTTAAACAAGACCAAAAACAGTATTTAGATTAAAATGTTTTCACTGTAAAAACAACAGTAATATATTAGTTTGTTTTTACAGAATTATTAGGGCATTTACAGGGACCTACAAATGTGTCAGAACACTAATGTTAGCCTGAACTCTGCTGGAGAAACTTGGTTATTACAACTTAAACACAGCAGCAAACTCCAGTCCTGTATCGAGACAGTTCATCCTTATCACACAGGTCAGGCAATAATAATGGACTAGTTACACAAATGGAACAACAACACTGACTAACTGGTGCAGGCAGTTCAGCAAGGGATCGTTTATTGACTTGATTAAACTTAAACCTTGTTTTATCTTCCATTGGTTTCACAGTTTAATTAACTTTCCACACAATTATCCACTGAAACCAAAGCGCTGTGACTCGCTGTCCTGACTCTTTTGTTTTATTATTTCCTTTTTCAGTGGCAGAAAAAGTTTTCAGACATTTCTACTCAAGAAAAGTAGCAATGCCACACTGACAATATTCAAATACAGTAGGGTTAGTGAAAGTACTATTAAAAATATCATCACATAATATACATATTCCAAAAGTCAAAGTACTCATTATGACATTTGTAATATTTTATATATACCTTTTTTTTAATTACATAACTAATAAAATACATTAATCACATTAAAGTATTAATGTAAAATAAGATCATAGGCACCTTTAAATTATGTTAAACTAAAGTAAATGTGGACTTAGTCGTTCTCACTTTTCACTGACATGACTGGACTGAATACAGCTCCTTAACTTTGAATTCATGTCAGTGACACGTTGAAAGCCTCGAACAAACTCTAAAGATTTAAATTCTCACCAGTGTTTCTGTGCCAGTTGCTGACACACACATACCCTGAACATATCTAACCACTAGGTGGCACTAACAAGCAGATGACAGGTTCCACATGCTGTGTTTATTTTCTTTAGGAGATATTTCAAGACAAAAAAATAGTGAACAACTGATAAGAATTTGTCATTATCATCATTTTTAATAACATCTCAGTTCAAGTACAGCAAATTTATAAATCTAATATTCATACATCCAGACACAGTGAAACGTCAACAGATTTAAATGCAGTCAGTTACGCTGTTCACTGAATTAAAGGGGCATCCCAAAAATAGTCATACCTTAGGATACAGAGGAGTAAAACCAAAATTAAATTAAATAAAAATCACAAAATGAAGGCACAGCCAAAGCAGAGGAGCCATCTTGACTTCAGTGCTTATGGGGTTGTGTTTAGTTTTTTTTTTTTTTTTTTGGAATGCATAACAGGAAGAATTCTTGTGGGTGGGAGAAGAAATATAATAAATATTGATCCAAACAATATTTATTATTGCTGGAAATTACTGAGTGCCATTCTTTTATTTCACAAACCGTATCACGGTGCGGTCCCGACTGATCCACTGTAAAAAGGCCACATATTCAGAGAGTGAGCAGGTATTACACCTAAAGCTGACATTTGTGTTATTAAAATAAATATAACTCATGGACAGTGTCTAAGCTGCTTTAGACCAACTGATGGTTTCAGTCAGACTCTTTGAACAGCAGGACTACTGAGTACTGACATCATTGTGCTTTATTATGTGCTAGTGTTCATTCGTATCACGCGGCTCCACCCAGAGGTGACAGAGGACACGTTTAACAGCAATAATGTTAATATGTCAGCGCTTGAATTACACTCCCTAACGTTGTAAAGAGGGTTTAAAAGTGTATCATTAACATCACAGGCTCACACTTCAAGTAATTTCAGGTATGGAGGAGGATTCCACTACAATGTGATTAGAAATAAAAGTACACATTGTCACGTGGAATTTAAAAGTACTTCACAAACTCTTGGAACCATTAAATGTTGACAGTCAGAATTTGGGATGTAACACTAAAACCAGCTGTGATTGAGGGACACTTCCTGTGTGAGACGCCGTCTGTAAGGCAAAGGATACTAGCGTGCAAACATATTCTAATGTTTGGTCGCTCCAGCTGTTTCCAGTTCGAGTTAGCGGACTGTTACATCCCCGATTCTGCCCGACATTCGCTGAAATCAAACATTTCATGGTTCTTGCATATAGAATTCCACATTTCATCTCATGAAATGTGCGCAGGCTTTATGTGAAATTACAAAAATATACAAATGAGATCTCAAATACATCTTTTGTATTTAAAAAAAGAAAACATGAAAGAAATTCATATTCTATATGCTTTGGATAAACTGAGTTATTTCTGAGTGTCAGGACGATGGTACAAACAGACCAGTGCTAAACATGGTTTTGAAAAGGGGGATCTGGTCTCCAGAGTCCATAATACGTTTAAATAAATGTGAGACAAACTAAGCAGATTTTCATTTCTGCTGCTGAACTGTGTTGTTACCTCGATTGTCTGGTATCTGCTATTCCAGCTACTCTTAGAAATGAAAGAGGAAACAGTTTGGCAAGTGGACTCTACACAAACTGTGGAAAAGTCTCTGGGAACATGTCGGACTGGTTTAACAAACACATGACTTCACATTACAAAACATGGCCATGGAGTCTGTTGTCAAGAGCACAGACGGCACTGACTGAAAACACTGTACACACAACAGCCTCTCCTCTCACACGACGGCAATGGATGAAGTGGTGAAGGTCAAGAATTCTGTGATTCCAAAAATTGTGACAATCATGATGATGATAAAGCCAAAACACTATAACACAAATCAATTCACATGGCACCAACTTCAATTAAAAATAAAGAAAATGACGTGCACTTCAAGATGTCTCAAATACAAAATTACCAGAGATGACTGAATCGTCCTCACCGTCAAATATATCAAGGCAATGACTAATGGAGATAAAGTAGGTCCTTCTCAGGCTCAGGGTGACTTCTAGCCTGTATGATTGTGAGCAGTGCTGTGCTTTATTCAGGGCAGTCATATCAGATGGGAGCAGCAGTAAACTCATGTTAAATGTGGGAAAGGTCTATATTAATGTTATAGAGGTAACTGAGCCACTTGTGCTGTAAAATATAAACCTAACAGATGGTGAGTGCTGCTAAGATGTTTCACGTTCATACCAGCTCATTAAGAGGACATTCAGTCAGTGAGGAACTTTGTAATTTCATGGGGTTTTGTGAGACGAATGTATGTTTGTTTGTTTGTTTGTTTGTCTGTCAGCAGGATTATGCAAAAGATTTGCACCAAGCTTGGTGGAGGGATGAAGCATGGGCCAAAGAAGAACCCATTAAAGTTTGGTTTGTTTAAAAGGCGGTTTCAGGAACTATTTTTAAAAAAAATGCGAGACAGGACATTTTTCAACATTATTGTCGTTTGGCATTGATTGAGGTATTTGCTCTATTGAGTGTCATTCTAGTTATCACTGTTTAAGATATGTTCACTGTGACTGTGAACACAATGAAAAAACCATAAAACTGTGTATTTCAAATACACACAAAATGATGTCATGGATTTCCTGATTGATCCAGTGAGCAGCACATTGGTCTGGAGTGTCAAACTCGCCTGCCCAACAGATTCTACTCCTTCCACCACGTCTTTAAATGACAGACGTATCAGTCCATTTCATTATTACTATTTTTAAGACATCTGTCTGAAAACATTACTGACATGTCTGAACGTGCATTTTAAAGTCTTTTGTTCAGTGTAATTATTCCTCTTGGCTGTGAAGAGATCATTTCCTGACATGACTCCAATATGTTCTGTGGAAAAATGTCTCTCAAATATATATATTAAAGTTTGCCTCATGAGGCTTCAGCAGTCTGAATTAGACAGGTTAAATGGATATCTTCGTTTACCTTGACTCAGCAAGCAAATGTTCTGAGGAAATGCTGAGGAATTTTGTTAAAACTAACTTAAAAGAGAGTCACATTTTATTATTCTTTTTATCTAACTCATACTCCTGAGGCCTCGGATCAGCTTCAGCTCAGAGGACTGTGGGTTCTGGCACTGGACTCTTGTTAGGAAGGATCTCTTTATGACCAGTATGGACAGGAGGAAGCATTACAGTGACCGATACTCGATGTACACACAGGCATGACACATTTTAAAAAGGAGCCATTTTTAAATTTTGCTATTGATACATATTGAATAGATACTTAGTACTTACACCAAGGTCTACTACTGTAATGAAGTTGTAGTGTTGTCCTTCTATTGTAAGTCGCTTGAAATAAAAGCGTCTGCCAAATGAGTAAATGTAAATGCAATGTAATGTATATACTGGGCTCAACAATGGAATGACAAATGTTTAAAAAATCCCACCATGTAATATGTTGCAAAATAATGATTCTCCTAAGTGAAAGGAACCTAAGAGAAACCTGATTTACTGCTCACTATAAATTAAACTAACGAGTGTGAATTATATGGGATGTGGTGAATGAGAAACTAATTAGGCTGCCCCCATGGAATGCCTTCTCTGCCCTCGCCTCAGCTCACGGCTGAGCTTCTGTGGACTCTTATGAACATCTATAGTAGCAGCTAGAAGGCGACTATTCGTATTAAAACAAGGCCATGTAAAAGACACTACACTATCACAGTAGCACAGACATGTCATGCCTTCGACTGACGTTCAGTCTCTCTAGACAATATTTTCTTTTTATATTATATTCTCTGATACATAATCTGGGATTTTATGCTTCCATCTTCTCTACAAAAATAACACATTTTACATCTTGCAAATACCTGAAACAGAATGACTGGATCCAGTCACAGTGGAGCAGCTCACTGTGCATCAGAGCTGCCCAGTCTCTCAACTTCAAAACTGCACATCTGCACACATCTGGACAGACCCAAAGAGCCTGTGTGTGATTCCAAGTATCAGAGTCTCCAATAGAGATCAACTGACTAACCGACTGGTTTAAGCACTCTTTCAGCCTGGCAAAACTTCATTTCCAGTTTTTGTTTTTTGAGAAAAAAAGTTTAAGTTGGTACCAACAAACACCATTTCTCCACAAATACTGAAGTGCATTTCTATAATAACATTCAGCTGATTCTGTGAGTGTAAAACACCTACAGACCTTCTAATAAGTGACGCACCTCACGTCTATGATGTGTCTTTTGCTGCACCACTCTTAAAGAAACTCGACAGTACAGCAACTGACATTCATGGTGTGTATGTGTGTGTCTTGTGTGTGTTGTTAGTAAGTGATCACAAGGCCGTCTCCTGGACTGTGTGAGCCGTCAGCTGGCACGAAGGCCGAACGATCCTCGGTTCCAGGTCTTCCTCCTCTGTTTGTGCTCGGTCGCTCTCCGTCTCTTTGTCCTCTGTGACCGTGTCGTCTTTGCAGTGAGCTGCTCCGTTGCTGTCCTTCTTGGCCATCTGATAAGGCTGCGTGTTGATTTCTTTGGGCTGGTCAAAAAGGGTAAAGAAGACTGTTGAACGCTCAGGTTACATAGAACAAAGCAGAGAGTGGGAGAGTGAATATGAGTCTACCTTCTGAGACAGAGGAGTGACGCAGCAGAGCTTCTCTCTGTAGCGCTCAGGCAAGAAAAAGAGCAACGTGCCCAGGACTGGATACACTGTGCCGGGGGTCAGCTCCTTCTCCTTCATAGGTCCTTACATGTGGAGAGATACAGGAAGAGGACAGAAATTTACCTTTGATCATGTTTGCCTTCAGGTAAGACAGAGAAATCCAGGACAAAATGAAACGAACCAGGAGCTGATCCTGACAATTAAACTAAACTACTAAAAAACACATTCAGCCAGTGCAGACTTACTGCACGTTTACTGCCGGTTTACCATTGAACACTGCGCTGCACTTTGATTGGCCTCTTCAACAAATCTAAGCCTAGGTAGCTAGCAGCTAGCTAGTTAGCCTGCGAGGTTCTTGCGAATATTCAAGCATGAAATGTATCAACCAATTCATGAGGTATCCAAACAGGGCGCTCCATTAAGCCCATTCATTTCAGTGAAAGCTGCTCACCCAGCACACATGCTGTAAAGTGATACATGTGCTCTGGTGTCTCTTTTCAGACCCAGTCTGGCCAACTGCCTGCGTACAGGACTGACATGAAAATAATATTCTGAGACGACTGTTGGTGGCTTTTAATATACTGGACCTGATGTGATAAATCAAAGCTCGGAGAGATAAACCAGCGCGGGCATCACATGATCTGTGGTTCCTACACTGCCACTACACACTGTGTATGGAACTTTCTGATTGAATGCATTGTAGTTGTTATTCTACTGATTCCTAGTCTGGTCAGAGATATAGTTGGTGTTTGTACCTGTTAGAAAGCTGACTATCAGTCCCACCACCACCACAGTGGCTGAGTTGTGAGCGCTGTACCACATGTAGGACAGTGAGTAAAGCGCCTCCACACCTGTCGGCCTGAAGAAAGAAAAGTAGCATTTAAAAATGGATGTTCCTCATTTTACAAAATTCAATGTTTGACTTATGGTGTGAAGAATTATTAAAAATTATGGAACCAACACATATTTCTACGTTTAGTTCTTGACATTTACTGGTTACCTCGGTTTGGCAGTGGTGGCGCTGGCCAGTGTAGTCATGACAGTGGTGGTCATGTTGTCGAACAGAGGCAGAGCCGTGGTGTTGAGTGGAGGGACTGGGGTGGCAGCAGACATACGCATCACAAAACTGCCAATGCCGATCCAGAAGGCCATGGCAAGGCCCGATGCTAATCCAACCACTGCACCCTGAGGTGACAGAGGAGAGGAGAGAGGTGGGGAAAGAGATAAAGAGATGCTGTTATGGCTATTCCCATTTTCTCTACTCCCCTATTACACTTTATCTGTGATCACAATAACAGGTGGACTCACGATGGAATTTGCCCAGGGGAAGAACATTCCTAGACAGAAGAGGCCCAGCAGGGGGCCACCCACCATCCCAAAGATACTGAAGGCTGCCTGAGGGCGCAGATGATACAGCACGGCAATGAATGACTATTTGTTGTGCAGCTGCATTATAACACAAACTAAGGTTGTGTATTTTAATCTTAACAGAATGAATTTCAGTAAAATGGACACAGTTAATGCACATTGTACTTTTTAGATTCTGTCTAAAGCATTTTAATTGAGACAAAAAGGGCTGCTTTTACTAATTGCTATAATTACTGCAATGTCTGACCATGTTACCTGCAGCACAGATCCCATTATGGAGGCGAGGTAGGCCATAGCCAGACACACCAGGCCATAGGCCAAAGCTGTGGAGCACATGACAAGAAAGAAAATTAAGTTGGAGGAGCTGATTCACTCGCACTTTTCTTAAAGCTGGTTGGTTGATACATTATCAGTAATCTAACAAGACTAGGTCAAAACCTAGTATGTGGCTGGACCACCTATGGTCAAATCCTGATTTTGTAACTGCGACGTCGTCTGACAAAAATCACCAGACACAAAAATTAAAGACAAAGACTGAGCTGTGATTGTTGTGGAAATTAGTAATCAGTATGAATTCAGGAAACAACAACGACAAAAGTCTTACCGAGTCCCTTGGACAGAAGTGTGGCTTTAGCTTCAGTCATGTTTGGAAAATAAGGTTTAATCAGGTCCTCCATAGTTACTGTTGCTAGGGAGTTGAAGGCTGAAGAGATGGTGCTAGCAGGACAAAAACAGGATTTAATGAGTGACTGGTATTTTTAAACACATTATATGCATTTCTGCATAACGCAGACAGGACAGAGCATGAACATCATAATAATGCCATCAGTTCATGTCACATCCAGCTGGTGGTAGAAAATAAACCATCGGGCAACATAGTGGGATTTCCCATTAGATTTCAATAAGAGGAGAAGCTATGTAAAGTATAATTCACTAATAGACACAGCAATGATTTATGACTGAATATTTCATCACTTTTTGCTACGTGTCCAAGCCCAAGACAGTTATTACATATATTCAGACCATCAAAGGAATGATGCGCTGAAATAAGACAATGATAGGGATAGAGTAAATACATTTAAAGGACAGGAGGTCTTTGATGTTTTCATACTCAAGACATAAAACAATCCAGTCGTGTGTGTTATCTCCAGGGTTTATTATTTAGAGATTGACTGGGATGAAGCCAAAGCTTATAAAATTAAACTAAAGCAGCAAACAACACTGCTGTTAGAAGTTCAACACCTGCAGTTACACCTGGTGACTGACAGTTGACAGACAGATCCTATATTTTACATTTTTCACAGTTATGACATCCATAGGAAGATATATTTATGGTTTTAAGAACCAAAAACCATTTCAGTGGATGATCCTTTACTTCCAAATCTGTTGTCTTTGGTTATTTACCTGAGAGCGCCACTGAAGAGACAGGCTACAAACAGCCCTGGGAGCCCAGGAAGGTCCCTGAACACATCCATCACAAAGTACAGCACCATCTACACAAAGAAACTGAACATTAGGATGGACATACACAAATCCAGATGATAAAAACATTGTACAGCCCTGTGATTGACCGGCAAGCTGTATAGGGTGCACCCTGCCTCTCACCCAATATCAGATAGGATCCCCTGCTACTCTCAAGGATAAGCAAATATAGCTAATGGCTGGATGGATGCACAAACACTGTTTGTGCTACTATTTGGGGAATCATGAAGGAAAATTAGTGTTCACCTGGTCATTAGTTTTGACGTAGCCCTTATCCAGAGGGCTGTCCTCTCCATACCGAGCGAACATGACCAGACCCATCAGACAACCTAAACACAGGACGATCTGCTGGCATGGGAAAACAACGTAGCAGGACCTGAGAAGGTGAGAGGTGAGAGGCATGGTTAGAAACTGGGCCCGAGAAAAATGCCGGCCAACCATGGACACAAGATGAACGTTTTAAGGGCAGACCAGAAAAGCAACATTTAAAACAAAAAGTAGAGCAAATACTAAGAAATGAAGAGTATAGTTGGAAGTTAACAGCATATTTACATGTGTCTTAACTTAAGATGAGTTGACAGTACATGATCAAAAATGCATTTCAGTGTCTGCATCATGTTATTGAATAACAGCATGGCATGAGAAACTGGTGATACTGACATGACGGCTTCTTTCTCTGTGCGTGAACTGAGGTATCTCTGCACCTGGGCCTGGTTGACCCCGTACAGGGCCAGCATCAGGAAGACTCCCCCCACACCCAGAGTCCAGAAGGTGTGACGCTCCAGAGGGTCAGGGTTCAGGCTACACACACACACACAGAGTACAGCATGAACACTTGAAGCACACACGAGCAAAGTACATTTAAGACGAGTAACACTTTATTCCTCCTGTAATGCAAAGATGCTGACTACTCACTCTAGTCCAGCTATACGGCTGCCATTGATTGCTTTCCTCCACACCTCTCCTATGCCCCCTGCCTGACCGGCCCCCACCACGATGACTGCCAGCTGGCCCGCAAACATCACCACTGTCTGGAACACATCGGTCCAGATCACGGCCTTCAGGCCGCCCTGCATGACGAGAGCACAGAGGCAATATTACAACCTATCTGTAGAGGTGCACATGGATCACAGCTGCAATGCACTGACAACAGATGCTGTATGTTTGTAGAATTAATCATAGATGACAGAGGAAACAGATGAACAAATCATAGTTGAGAGAAATAAATAAAAAGTTTTCCAAACAAGAACAGGTAGATGATTGAAAATCACCTTCTACTAAAACTACTATCAACTTTTTTTTTTACATTAATTTTAGTTTTATTTATTGCCAAAATTTGTCAAATATATGTAAATATATATATATGTAAATATATTATATACATATAAACTTTAGGGTTAATTTTCCGTTCTTATTGAAGAGCTTTCGTCAAAGAGAAATATTTTGTCACTGATGTGAACATTAGTTTGATAAATCCAGTGACTCACCAGAGCAGTGTACACAGTGCACACCAATCCCATGGCAAGCACTGCCCCCCATAGGTCAAAGCCCGTCACTGCAAGTGAACAGAGTGAAAACATTACCGAACACTGCTCAACAGATTAATCAATAATTTCAACATGTGCTGTTTTCAACTGTATTGAACATCATTAGTGTAACACGTGCAGTGATGGATCCTGTGGTAAAATAACAGCAAAAAATACAAATGCTACTCTTTACCTGCATTGAGCGCCAAGGCTGGAGCGTATAGCACCACCCCCATGTAAATGACCTGCAGAGAGGAGGGAAAAAAATGACAGAGCAGGATGAGCCACAGACTGAGCTCAGAGGTCGTGTTTTGTAGCTAAATGACTCACGTGTCAGATTATACCCTCTTTAACCTCAGAGGGGTCAGCGTTTAGAGAAAGGTCTAACTGTGATTTGTGTTAGTAGACAAATGTTTAACTTGATAGCAGCCTCTGAGCAGCTCACCATCGATCACTGTTCACACACATTTCTGAAATATCCGTTTTGTCAATTCATGACGACACTGACGAGCTGTAAATGGCGATGATACAATTTTACACCATTTTATGTGTCAAGTGATTAATGACTGAGTAGGTGAGAATATGGTGGTGGCCATTTTATCAAAATTCGGATCTAAAAAAATCCCAGAAACTAAATATACAAAGAAAATATGAAGTAGACTGAAATACCATCTGAAAGATGAATGTCACCGTCCCACATATGCGAACCGTCTTGTTGAAGCGCAGCTCCAGATACTGTTGAGAGGAGAGAATGTAAAAACAAAAACAAAAAAGAAAAACAAACAACAAAAACAAAAGAACAAACAAAATCAAAAGGCTGATTATATATCATCTCAGAGTCTGTATGGTCAGTGCTGAGGACATGTACTCTCAGGATCAGAACGGTCAGTTCAGGTACTGATCATCAAAGCCAGAGTCATTCTTTGCTCACAGGACGTTACTGCAGTACTGATCTTTGCAAATGACTGACAAGTGTCCTTGAGATTCATGAGAGAAACAGTCAGTCTGGCTGGACATAAAAAACCCTTTAAAGATAATGAGTCTCGAGACAAGAACATGCGTTTTTGTTGGACATCAACATATCAAGGATAACGCAGATAAGAGGACAGATAAGGAAACTGAGCTCTGAGATCATACGTGAGAAGGACGACGACAGGAGACGCAAGAAAGTGCTGAGAGGGTGTAAAACAGAAAAACAGGCAGACAGAGGAAAGAGGACATCACAATTAAGAAATGCTTTAAAAACACATTAACAGGTCATGAATCCACCACAGTGGCACAGTCATGTCAACCTATGTGTGCTTGTGGTCTGTTAGTTCTCCACTTGTGTGTACCTCATAGGCGCTGGACAGCCGCAGCCTGTAGAAGACTGGTATGAAAACATGAGCTGGGATGAGCAGGCCCAGGAAGTAGGAGCAGCCCAGGAACCAGTACTGAGTTCCAAAGGTGTACACCTCTGACGGAGCACCCAGGATGGCCACCGCGGACTGGAAAGTGGCCAGCAGGGACAGAGACACAGGCAGGCAGCTCATGGAGCGGTCAGCCATCAGGAACTCCTGTGGTGAACAAAATGTTGGTGTCAGCCATGATAGGGTAAAACTTAGGTGAGTATTGTGAGGAAAAAGCATCTAACCTGTGTTGTGCGCTGGCGCCCGCCAGAGAAGGCATAGAAGAGGCCGATGCCAGCGGAGGCCACCAGCAGCAGGGCAAAGATGACGTAGTCCACGGTGGTGAAGTGCATCTGGACTACCTCCCCCATGATGACGCTAGATGTGGGGCGTCAGTGCAGTGAAAGCCATTGGAAGCACAGCCTCTGGAGGCTGATCACAATGTTAAAGAGAGTACCTCACCAGCAGGGAGACCCGCTGAGAGCTGGAGGAAGAAAAAACAAGGAGAGAAAGTACATGAGGATGAGGTCAGGTTGACTTCTCTCTTATACTCGCTTGGGGACGTTCACACGGACAGCTGCTGTTCTTATTGCACTGAACTGTCTGTTTGGACTGAAAACAATGTTCTTGTAAAGTGGTGGCCATGCGTCACCACAACTTGGAGGGTGCATACGCCACTCGGACACTAGTGGACCCTTGCATACACGAGCATGTGGAAAGACTAACACTAGCTAAAGACACTGTGCAGTGACAGTAGCTCAGAAATACATCCCAGAAGCAGCATGCCAGGTCTTGATTCTTAAAAAGTTGACTAAAGTATCCTTGTTCACAGTCACTGGAGAAACAGCAGAACAAGAGTAATATATTTTTAATGCTAACAGATTTTATTGTCATTGCACTAGTAATAAAACATATTCCAAATGTATCGGTGCCAACAGAATCACACCAGCGTGGAGCAACAGTGTGATACACTCGCTAATTACTGCTGATGGTATCAAAAGCATCAACTTGTCTGTAAAATGTATTTTCCATATGATCAAATTCTAATATTTATTGTAATCAGAGAGCTTAAATCAAAATTTCACTTTTTGGCAAAAACAGGCATCATAGTCAAATTGTAAGATTATCACAGTCAAAGCTGGTGCTTCCTATAGTCACAACAGACAGACGGGTGTATCTGCTCAGGACCTTGCACATATTTAGATAACTGGGATACAACCTTGCTTTATTTTGAGCCTGAAAAAAAGCCCTTAAGACAGAAAAAGTATTGGATTTAAAAGAGAGAGAGAGACAGTCTGTGTTCATATTGGAGACCTGATGAGAAACTGTGTCACAGAAGGATTTAATGAAAGGCTGAAAGAATGTGAGGAAACATGAGTGACAAAAAGCTCCTGTTATCTAAAACAAGTCTGATGTTGATGCTGCTTCAAGCAAAGTTTTGATAAACATGCTTAAAACATGTTGTTTGTTGTTACATGTACTGCACAAAGCTGACGCAAGTTCAAGGATAAAATGTGTGGAGGCAGAAAAATGATAAGAAAAGAACTTTCTTTATTTGCTTTAAAAGCAACATTTTTTGTTTAAAATCAAACCACAACATTTCCAATCCCAACCTGTCACAGTATGTCAACTGTAATTTCTTGAGGTATAAAAGACAAATTGCAAATTGCAAAACACAACATGTCAGAGAAAACAAAATTCCAATAAAGTCATTCGCGTCGTCTTTTACAAAAAGATACAAAGAAGAATATCGACTTACTGCACCTACTGAGATCAGGCTGCTGCTGCTGCTGCTGCTGCTGCTGCTGCTGCTGCTGCTGCTGCTGCTGCTGCTGCTGCCGGACACACACTCAGACTGGAGGAGGAGATCTCAGTCAAAACCCGCAATCATGATCACTGCGGAGACAGGAGAGACTTCTACCTAAACCTGAAAGAAAAAAAAAAAAAACACACATGAGGAAAGAGACCTAACACAATATTGTTACAAATGATTCAATACCTGAACAAACTCTACAAAAACAGAACTTTGATATCTTTTGAGTCGTAACATTTTAACCAAATAAAACCCAATCCCTTGTTATGTTTTTAAAAGAGACACACAATGTTAATCTTTTTCAGTTTTCACTTTAGGGGATTTATTTTTGTTGTCGACATAGAGGACCGTTTTTTCACTCCATGCTGTGCTCATCTGAGAATAAACACATAAAACCAGCTTCACAGTTTCATGGGAGTTGGATTTCCCCAAACCAGCCAATACAGTCTTCATCAAACATGCAAAAAACAAATTGCAGTGCATTAAACTGAAGCAATAAATGTACAAGCTGCTTCTGATTCATGTTTTATAGATGTCTAATGAAGACATTTTTGTTTTGCACAAGGTCACTTGCTAAGGAGTGTCAGGGCGACCCATGAAAATCAGGAATGATTACAGCTTTGCTCACACGCACGTGGACAACTGTTGAGCTGCTCTCCAGAAAGGCACTTCACTAACCATGTTCACATGTTGGCAGCTGTAAATGGCAGCGAAGGGCAACTGTTTCAAATGACAGGAGGCCAAAGATCTCGGGGCGCTGCCACGGAGTTCAACTCCTGCTCGTTGTAACACTTGGCTGTTGCCATTTTGGGAAACTTTGTAACTGTAGGAACCAAAATCAAACTATGTGTGGATTTGCATGTGTGTGACTGTGAGTGTGTGAGATTATGTTTTTATGTGTGATCGTCAAATAGAAGCGGTGTTCTGCACTGACTGCCTGTCTGTGTGATACTCTGGGCTGGTTTGATCAAGCACTGGCTAACACATAGGACCCCATTAAATCCCATTATCATTATGGATAATCTCTGATCCACATGAATATGACTGGTTGGGAACAGAAGCAACTGGTTCAGGTCAAATGCAGCCACTTACAGGATGTTTTTTTCATTTTAAAAATCCATTACTACTCCATTAGTCCTTTAAATGTCTTCTTTTAAATTAACTAAACATTTGCTGCATTACCTGTTAATTCAGCCTTTCAGGAGCATGCGCAGGGGTCTGCTGTTGCTCAGAAACCTTTGCTTCTGTTGTTAGTTACAGGATTTGCTACACTGTTGGGCAAAAAAACCCTGCTGTTAAGATGCCTTTCTAAACTGGGCAGCATCAGTGTGAAAAAATGCATTCAAACCTGACAAGTTACAAAGGGCCCTTGGATTAAAATCCTTCCCATGCTTAAAACAAGGAGCCCAGCAGCTTCACAGAGTGGGGCCTGTGGATATTGCACTCTAGTAAAGCTACTTAAAATGCCAAACTGACATGTGCTTACACAATTAAGATATGGGACACCTTATGACATTATAGTACAATTTGAGAGTGGAATCTCTAAATTTAACATGTAGATTACAGGTACTGTCAAATCATTACAAGGTATGACTGAACAGTAAGATAGACATTTAGATATAACTGTATAAATCCAAGAATAAAATAACAGTAGTTATTCAGAAAATCCTTCAGTTAAATCTGAGATAACGTCCTTCTCTGGCTGGTCTTCAATGACTCAGCTCTTTTCATTTGATGGAGATCATGTGACTGGCTGATCGTACCTGCCTGGGCCAGTTTGGTCTGTCTTGTCATGTTTTATTCCCTTCAATGTCTCAATTGTTTTCCCAACTAAAACACCACCAGAAGTCACAGCATGCAAAGGTCACATTGGAGTCTGGATGTTTAAAAGGAGTGCGCCATGCGCTGCCCTTTGACACAGCCAGACCTCAGAGCAATCAGCTCGAGTGAACTTAACAGCACAGACAGTCTAATGTTTAAGATTCACCACAAATCAAAACTCCCAAAATACAGGCCAGCATACTGAATGAAGAGAAAAATGAAAAAAAGCATCCAGCTTCACTCTAGCTGGTATAACGCTGCGTGGGCCACTGAGCACTCGCTTTACATTTACTCCAATAGGGAACTTAACAACAGCCCCACAGGCTTCTCCTCTCTGGATAATGTACAGTTAATGGCATACTGCACAAGACAATACTTGGGAATGTTCAGCACAAAAGGAACATGGCTCACAGCTAGCAATGTGCTTCTGCACCAGTGGGCCGAGGCCTATTTCACTAGATCTGTGCGTTGCCACCACACAAGTGCAAAACGGGCAACAATCAACCAGCTACTTCTGCAGTATCAGTATTGGAACAACTCTAGTGTGCAGCAGTCAAGTGGTTAAGACACCATGGATCAAGAGGCTGCACCATCCCTGGTTTAAATCATGTCACTTTCTCTTCCTGGATGAAATAGAAAAAGCAACCAGTCATCACATTTAAGAAGCTAGACATGGCAAATGCCCAAAACTTAAGCTACTAATCAAGTGTCAGAATCAGCTGCCAATTTTCTGTCAATCGACTGATTGATTAAGCCACTGATCATTTCACCGCTAAACCCCACACAGAGGGCAACACTAGAAATCTACAATCAATACCCACCCAGTCTCCCACATTTAATCAATGCTTAAGCATCTTCAATTAAAGCAGGTAGATGCAGGTTCTTTTCACTCATGCTGCTGCCTGCTCTTCATCACTGTTTCCCACAAAAGAAAGACAAAAATATTTAGGTCAATGTGTGATACTGCCTGTGTTTAATATTTGGCCCGGCTCTCTGTATGAATAATAGGTGGTGGTTGTGTCACAAGCATCACAAAACATCACACAAGAAGGTCACTGAGGCCATGGTTGCCTGGCAACACAGGAACAGTGACTGTACATCACATGAAGCAGTCGGTGCGTTCATCCCCACACCCCCGTCTTGTGTGTAAATGGTGGTAAATAGAAAACCTGCTGTTTGATGGTGTGAGAGCTGGCAGAGCATGGGAAGGTTTGCAGCTGACATATGATTTCTGAATGAGGCTGGTGCTATACAAAGCATGTCAAGGTGGTTCAAAGTAAACCATATCTGTTCATTCTCAGATAACCAACCACATTGTACTCGCAGTGTGTGAGCACTCAAACAGGATTAACAGGTATTAAATGGGCGAACCAGAGAAGTACTAAAAAGCAGCAGGTTCATCTCATTTCAGAGTTGCACACGATCAGTTTGATAAAACAGCAACTGAGGCTGTATTTAGGTGTAGCTGAGCTTAGAGCTAAATGCTAATGCTAACAATGACAATGCTGTAATAATGTTTCCAGTGTTCTCCATCTTAGTTTAGCGTGTTAGCACGCTATCTGGTCATAAACAAAAGTGCTGAACAAAATGATGGCACAAAAGGAAAACACAGGTGATCCTCAAAGTTATAACGATTTATCCTAATCCACTATCAGAAGGTCGGTGGTTCGATTCCAGGCTCATCCAGTCCATATTTCAAAGTGTCCTTAGGCAAGATACTGAACCCCAAATTGCCCTTGATGTATCATCGGTGTCTGAATGTGCGTGTATGGTAGAAAAGTGCATATGTGTAGGGGAAAATGTGTGTGGAAATGTGGCTTCCATTGTAAAGAGCTTAGGGCGAT